TTTGAGTACATTGTTACATTCCTATTACTCACAAAAGCAGCATAGGGAAACTTTAAACCAGAGGTGTCTAAACTCGGTCCTGGATGTCCACTCTTCTGCAGAATGTAGTTACATGGAAGTTGGAAGTTTCTGGTATGCCTAGTAATACCTTAGTTAACTGATTCAGATGTATTTAATTAAGCTAAACTCTGAACTCTGCAGGACAGTGACCCGCAGAGCAGGATTCGACACCCCTTCAACTTGCAGCACATATTTGCATCGATTTTCAACCGACTTTGAGTACATTGTTACATTCCTATTACTCACAAAAGCAGCATATTTTTACTGTTATTTTCTGATTTTAAAGGCTCATGGTGAGACACTTCATACAAGAAGGGCGTGCAAGCTGGCCTCCTAATACGAAGACTACGATGGTGCACTGCAGCACACCTTTCTCCTTTTAAATGTTCAAGAAAAAAAAGGACTGTAATGGACATGTATGTGTTTTTTTTTTCAAGCTTTTCTCAGTGGTTGTTTCCCATGAGGTATGGGTGTATTTTCAGCTTTGCATGACAGTTTCTTGGCAGTTTTTTGCTACTTTTGTGCCCTTGTTGTATACATATACTGGCATTCACAGATTAGCATGCACAGGCAGGTTGTGTACGCTTCTTAATATTAAAACCCTGTTTATAAGCACTGCAAGAAAAAAATACATTTTAAATGTTTCAAACAAATGTAGTATTTTTTTTTTTATCTGGATCTAAAATAAAGTTTACATAATCATAACTAGAAAATTTATGTTAAAAATTTTGAACTTAAGTTGAAACAGCAAATATTGTAAAGTCAAATGAACTTCAATGAAACAATTCAGCACTAGGCAAGATTTAAATTAGTGAGTTGAAATGACTTGTACTTTTAAGTTGCTTTAACTTAAAATTTTAAGGCAGCCACAAAACTTACGTTTTTAAGTTGAAAGGGGTGAACATTTTTTACAGTGTACAAGTCGTTTATTTTGTTTTAAAATCTTATGAATGTATGAGGTGGCAAGCGGGGGCATTTTACCCCACACATGGGGTAAAAGGCTCACCAGCATGGGGCAAAAGGCACACAGTATTGATACAAATACTTTAGCTAAAATAATGTTTTGATTACAATTAGAGTCCATCTGTTCAGAGGTGTTTTCAATCAGTGAGATGACTATCAGGTGTGAGTGTGTGCCCGGTTTTATTTAAAGAACAGTGATCTATCAAAGTTTGGTCATGTTTGTGGAAGTGTATCATGGCACAAACAAATGAGATCTCTGAGGACCTCAGAAAAAAGTTGGTGTTGCTCATCAGGCTAGAAAAGTTTACAAAGCCATCTCGAGTTTGGACTCCACCAATCCACAGTCAGACAGATTGTGTACAAATGGAGGAAATTCAAGACCACTGTTACCCTCCCCAGGAGTGCTCTACCAACAAGGAACACTCTAAACGTAAGACGTGTAAAAGTCCACTAGGTTTCAAAGGACTGCAGGCTAACTTCTAAGCAACTAAAGGCCTTTCTCACATTGGCTAATGGTAATGTTTATGAGCCTATCATCAGGAGAACACTAAACAACCATGGTGTGCATGGCAGAGTCGCAAGAAGAAAGCCACTGCTCTCCAAAAAGAACATTGGTGCCCATCTGCAGTTTGCTAAAGATCATGTGGACAAGCCAGAGGAATACTGGAGAAATGTTTTGAAATGTTTTTGAGAAATGGTTGAGACCAAAATAGAACATTTTGGTTTAAATGAGCAGCGTTATGTTTGGAGAAAGAAAACACTGCATTCCAGCATAAGAACCTTATCCCATCTGTGAAACGTGGTGGAAGTATCATGGTTTGGTCCTGTTTTGCTGCATCTGGTCCAGGACGGCTTACCATCATAGATGGAACAATGAATTCTGAAATATACCATCAAATTCTGAAGGAAAATGTCAAGACATCTGTTCGAAAATTCCTACAAGTCGTTGTGCAGGACTGATCAGCAGTTACAAGAAACGTTACTTGCAGTTATTGCTGTAAAAGGGAGTCACACCAGATTCTGGAAGCAAAGATTGACATACTTTTGCCACTCACAAATATTTGACACCAGATCATTATTCGCAATAAATAAATGACAAAGTATATATTTTTGTCTCCTTTGTTTGATTGGATTCTCTCTGTCTACTTTCAGGATTTGCGTGAAAATCTTATATATATATATATATATATATATATATATTAGTAATTTTGGTACTTCAATTTATTCTATTCCTATTTCTAATTATTGTTTAAGTTGTAGTTCTACTTTTAATTAACAATAACAACACTGCAACAAGCTGTTAAAATCTATTGAATATGAAATCTCATGTGCAGAGTGTTCCTGCTAGGAATAGTTAACTGTTCTAATATAAACCACTAGATAATTCTTGAGAACTCATAGGATGCTGCCTGGTATTTCCTTTAGCCACAAGTTTGTTTTTTTCGTCAGTAAGCAATCTGGTAACACTTTATAATAACGTTCAGTTGTAAGTAATTTATAATTGATTAGTTAATGATGAACTAATCATAATAAGTGATATGTTAATATTTTTATCTATGTTTTGTAGATTAAGTTATAAATAATTTACAAGTGATTAATTGATGATTAACTAATCATTTACAAAACATGACTGTACATTCACAAATGATTAAGTAATACGCTAACGATTTACTAATCTCGTAAGTTATCTTAAAAAATAGCATCATGAAATAAAATGACACTGAAAAAAAATGATACTACATTTTTTAAGGTAAGTGGTTGCAAACAATATATTTTAGCTACATTTAAATTTACATTTACATTTACATTTAGTCATTTAGCAGACGCTTTTATCCAAAGCGACTTACAATTGGGGGATACATAAAGCGATTCTTCTTAAGAGGCAAACAGACACAGGAAGTGGTTGTAATACCAAGTTCTTAGACATTGTTCAAATAAGTACAAGCGCCGGGAAGACAAGAAGCTCAGTCTTTGCCAGGTTGAGCTGTAGGTGATATTCTTTCATCCATGCTGAGATGTCCGCCAGGCAGCCTGAGATCCGTGCAGCTACCGTTAGATCATCTGGTTGAAATGAAAGATAGAGCTGTGTGTCATCAGCATAGCAATGGTAGGAGATAAATAAAAAAAAATGTTGAAAGTTAGTCAACTAAATTTGTTTATTTGAATGTAGCTAAAATAAATTGATTGCAACCACTTATCTTAAACATAAAGTGTAAACTACTCATCAGTTGTAAATGTTTTACAAACCTGCCAGTTACAGGTTGTGTGTGTGTGCACACTGGGGTGAAAGATATACGAATGACGAGTAAAACATTTACAACTGATGAGTAGTTTACACTTTAGAATAGGGGATGCAGAAAGCTTTGTAAATGATTTATTAATGTGTTTACACAACAGGTTTTGAATACTTTGTAGTGTGTACTGCAATGTAAGGGCTGACTGGTTAGGGTGTAGACAGATGTCTTTTCTGACACACATGGAGTATTTTTAACGCTGTGAGATAATAGTACAATGTTGACATTTCAATGATTTATAAGTGATTAATAATATATTAACTAGTAACTTATTAACCATTTACTAAGGATCTCTTTGATTATTTCATGATATGCTACTTTTTAAGATAACTTGTGACAGATTGGTAAATTGTTAGCATATTACTTAATCATTTGTGAACGTATAGTCATGTTTTGTAAATGGTTAGTTAATCATCATCTAATCACTTGTAAATGATTTATAACTCAATCTACAAAACATAGATACAAATATTAACAACTTGCTTATTAATCATTTATGAACACATACAGTAGTTATGTTTTGTAAATGATTAGTTCATCATCAACTAATCACTTATAAATGCCTTACAACGGAACGTTATTATAAAGTGTTACCTGCAGTCTTTATGGTGACATTTACAGAATGTCTTTTTCAGACTGTAAACAAAAAAGAAATTGGATGTTGCCTTTTGCAGTTACAGATGAGTTCAGCTTCTTAACTTGACCTGAAGTCACTATTGATATTTTTTTTGTTGCTGTTGTTTGTTATGAAGGTCATGATGGCTAATGTTTTTTTTTTTTTTTCAATGTTGTTTTCATGGAGAACTTCACAAAGTTCACAAAGATTCTTAATATCTGAACCTACACAACTTCTTATTTCTTCTAGAACATGCTGGCAGAGAAGGTGGAGCAAATGATGGAGTGGAGTTCCCGGCGTTCCATGATCCGTATGAACGGGGATAAGTTCCGGCGGTTTGTCAAGGCTCCACCCCGGAATGAAGGTCATGATGGCTAATGTTTTTTTTTTTTTTTTCAATGTTGTTTTCATGGAGAACTTCACAAAGTTCACAAAGATTCTTAATATCTGAACCTACACAACTTCTTATTTCTTCTAGAACATGCTGGCAGAGAAGGTGGAGCAAATGATGGAGTGGAGTTCCCGGCGTTCCATGATCCGTATGAACGGGGATAAGTTCCGGCGGTTTGTCAAGGCTCCACCCCGGAACTATTCCGTCATTGTGATGTTCACCGCACTACAACCCCAGAGACAATGTTCTGTCTGCAGGTGAGACAAGCACATTCATCTTTTAGTTGCTGTCCACAGGTATAATGCTGTATATACTGAAGTAAAACGATAATAACAGGTGTAAACGCAGTCATAGATAAAGATTTGATCTGCCCCAGAGCACCACCGGAAAACCTACATCTGTCTGTTCCCAAGCAGCCTCCACCCCAGACATCATTCCCATCTATTTATCCCACGACAGCTACTTAGCCTCCATCCACTCACCTCACATCCATCTCTCTTCTCATTATCCTTCAATCGTCGGGTGAAATGACTCCGTGCTCATACAGTCGTGTTCCTCAGCTGAATATCAAGCCTCAGAGAGTGAACCACTCCTACTAGTCTATTCAGAATTCTTAGACATCATCTGCCAGCTTCATTGAATAAAGATAACAGACTGGAACAGTCATGTGTGCTGTCAAAATAGAGGAAGTTAATTTAAAGCAGATCGACCTTTAAACGCCCAGTCACCCTATTGCGACGATGTGACCCCTAATGCTTTTTTAATTATCTACTGTCTACTCAAATCGCATGTTTATGTATATTCTCGTTATTTCCTCGTTATTTGCCCTCCATCTCTCTCCCTGTCTTTCTCACACCCAATTAATTGTTTTCTTTTCTCATACATCATTTTGTCCTGAATACTGTAGTTGACTGTTTGGCTAGAAGTTAGCTAGTCTTTCTATATCTTTGCTGTTAGATAGTTTGCATGGTAAAACCCTCTCTGAAACGTTGTCGCTTTAAATATATATAGCAATGTCACTACAGCCATACTTATACAGACAGATTTCTTTAACCATAGTTTCGTGCCTTGTGCCGTTTTTGAGCAACCTGTTAAAACGATCTCAAGACTCCTGAATTCTGTATGCGTGTGTGTTTCTATGGTAGCTTGTTTTCACCATGGGATAAAAAATAATAAGCTAATTGTGATTTTAATTTTTTTTACTCACAATTGCAAATTTACATCTCGTAATACTGACTTTTTCCTCAAAATTGCTAGTTTATATCTCGCAATTACTTTTTTTCCTCACAGTTCTGAGAAAAAAAGTATTACGAGATGTACACTAGCAATTTTGATATAAAAAGTTGCAATTAGCTTTTTTTTTTTTTTATCCCGTGGCAGGAACAAGCTGCCACAGAAGTCTTATTTAAATTATCTCTAAACTTTAAAAAATGTATAAATCTGACACACTACTCAAACTTGCATTATTACCAAATTTAATACCTACGTTTCAGCCAATCGACCTTCCTTAGCCTAAGGAGTTAATAATACAATTTTGTAATGGTACAAGTTTCAGTAGTGTGCAAATTTCTGTATTTTTTTGTAGTTGATGATGGACTTATCAAACATACTGACAAATGATTCAGGTGTGCAAAGCACTATATTTTCCAAATTTCCAAAAAAATAAAAGCTTTATTTGGGCTTCCTTAAATCGTTCAGACTCACTGCCTGCATGTTGTCCAAGGGTCCTTAAAAGTTTTAAAATGTCATAAATTCACTTTTCAGAATTGAATGCTGTGAAAAGTCTTTAAATATCTTAAATAGCATGGGTAAAAAAGTCTTAAATGTCATTTGCGAAGGACAGGAAATGCTGCTATTAAGGAAGCTTCACACTGCTGACGTAAGGGAGCTTTGAGGTAAAGATGCAGTGCAGCATGTAAATGATGTGCCATTTTTTTGTTTAATATCAGTTATTTCATATTGTTTATTTAAATAAATTGTTCCAAATAACGAGTACTGTGCTATTTGTCATCTCCCCAAAGGAATTCATGAAATGCCATTTTACCATGGTTCCGAAGGACTGTGCTCTCCAGAGCACTTTTGACTGCGGTAACTTCTCAATGACAGATCAGTTAACGTCAGCTCAGCCCTTGCTTTTTGAAAATGGACACTCAGCATAAGATGAAACATTAATGTGCATAATCATGCATATTTAAACTTGTTTTTACCACCTGCAGAGTGCCCTGCTTTATTGATGTTTATGGGTACATTTAGTTTATTGATGCATTTATCAAGTCTTTAAATTCTACACTTTCAATCTGTAAATGCATGTTTGCTTAGCACTATATGGGTGAGATTTGTTTTCTGAACAATGATTAAGTCACAATTATGAACATAGGATGTCTGTCATCTCATAATCCAGAAGGGATTGGGATCCCTGTAGTTTTTACTAAAATGTGAGTGTCGGTTATCTGAATTTGGCCTTTATGGAAGGTGGTGTACTGGAGGTGCATCATGCAACCCATAGAAATAATAAATGTTTTGTCTGCGCGAATATACGGGGGAAAATAAGAGCTCTTTGAAGTGATGTGAGTGCTTTTGATCCAGCATCATCAATGTTTAATTTTAATTTGTTTGTTTATTTATTTATGGTGGACATCACAGTGACGTTTTCCAGGAACTGGCAGGTGGACATCTCTGTTGCATCTGCAGAAGGACAGATACCTAATTAACAGCATTGTCTTTCTTTTTTCCCTCTCGTTCTCTTTGTGCTGTCCACCCAGTGTGGAATAAACAGCAATCACTGTAATACGTAATAGTGAGATGACACTCCTGTAATGAAGTTCTTCTTGTCGGATTCTTTTTATTTGGTAGCTTTCTTCTAATGAGTAAGCTGCCTTTCTGCTTCTGAAAATGTCTCTCTTCACAGGCAAGCTAATGAGGAATATCAGGTGCTGGCTAACTCCTGGCGATACTCTTCGGCCTTCTCTAATAAACTGTTCTTCACGGTGGTGGATTATGATGAGGGGGCTGACGTCTTTCAACAGGTAAACATTAAACTTGTCTGTGTTTATCTTTCATCCGCATGGATTTGTCAGGTCTGTCTAGCGATTTCCTTCATGCAGAGGGCCCTGCAGAGAGAAAACCTAGAAATATCAGGAAGTCTTACAGTTGTGATTTCCAGGCTTATCCTTGATTCCTTTAAAGTATGAAAGGGGTCATATGATGCGATTTCAAGTTTTCCTTTCTCTTTGGAGTGTTACAAGCTGTTCGTGAATAGATAAAATCCCTGAAGTTGCAAAGACTAAAGTCTCAAAACCAAAGAGATATTCTTTATCAAAGTTAAAACTCTGCCACGCCCCCCTACTGTTACACCAAATACACAAAATAATGATCTTTAAAAAAGCATCATATGACCCCTTTAAGATGTTTTAAATTCACTTTGAAAATGTGAAAATTCATGTCAAAAACCATGCAAGTGATCTCTGTGCTATTTAGGATGCACACACACGGATGGATGGATGGATGGATGGATGGATGGATGCCAGGAGGTGGGTGTCCGTGAGCCAAAATCAATGTTCTTGGTTTCCCTCCAAATGCATACTAACTAATATCCTGCGAGTCAATGCACAGCTTCACAACCGCACAGAAATATTCAAGTACCATGTCTGGTTGTTCCTCCTAAAATAATTCCCCAAAATGCAGAAACTCCATGTTGATTGTCTTATTATGATACAAAATCAGGTTCTGAGGCTGGCAGGTTTGGATCCAGACATCAGGAGCTGTTGCTCTGGTATTTTTTAACTAAAAAGAGAATGTGAGTGGTGCAAAACCCGCCACCACGATGTTAAGGTGTTGTGGGTGGTTGCCAGGATGTTGCTATGTGGTTGTTAAGGTGCTCAGAGTGGTTTTTCATGATCTGCTCTGCATTTGCTTGGATTCTCTGAGTGTCTCTATGATTTTGCGGTCAATAAATATGGCTCAGGTCCCTCCTTCAATGTAAGTATGGTATTTTTCATCTACCTGTTGAAAATTGTAAATCCAATTGCATAGAAAAACAATATCACAACCTCTCCTCAACAATACACATTATCTGAAGTGTCATTTAGTTCTGTAGCACAAGCAAATTACATGCCAAAGTTTATTGCTTCAGTGTTTGTTCAGATGGATGGATGGATACATACGATGGATGGGTGGATGGATGGATGGATACATACGATGGATGGGTGGATGGATGGATGGATGGATACATACGATGGATGGATGGAAGGATGGAAGGAAGGATAAACGGCCAGATGGATACTATGGATGGATGGATGGATGGATAGATAGATAGATGTTGAAAATAAGTATGCTTTATAAGTACTAATAAACATCCACTATTTTAATATGTTAATAGGCATGTTAATATGCAAGTAGTTATAAGTGAGAATTGGTCCCTATATACTAAAGTGTTACCAAAATTAGTATAGTGAACATTTCAACACAAATAACATATTTCAATATCTACAAATTGTTCTTCATAGCTGTAAAAAGTGAAGTCAAAATTCAAAAGGTGTAGAGACCTTGTTAATGGAAATTAATTAAGAATAACCTTACAAATAAGTTGTATAATTTAAAGGTCATGAAAATCTGATTTTTCCAGGTGTTAAGTGCTATAATCAGGTCCCCGGTGCATCTTTCCAGGTTTTAAGTGCTATAATCAGGTCCCCGGTGCATCTACCAACCAAGGAAACGTGAAAAATATTGACCCAGTAACTTTGTTTTAGTAAGCCTTTTTCTGCAAGCGTCTGAAAAACCGAGCGCGTCAGATTTCGCTCCCTTGGTGACGTGGCAAAGGGATCTCATTATAATATTACTGCCCCTTAATCTGTAAGTTTCCACTCTCTGCGCCGTCATTTTGATTTCGCAAGCGACAACAATGTACCAGTTCTAATGCCGTGGCGAAAGTTTGAGCAGAGCATGCTAACTGTTCTGTCTTTGGCTGCACAGACGAGCACAGAACACTGTTTAGAGTCCCAGCCTCAGAGGAGACAACAGAGCAGTGCATTTATTGATTTATTTACTGTATATTGCTGCTGCCACACAGATCTAAAATAAACAAGTGATTTATTTCTCAGCTGTTTACCTTCACAGACATGACCGATTGTTTTTGTAATTTGTGTTTTTAACGTAAATTTCTGTGTGAAAGGGAACTTGGGCCTCGTCCACACGGAGACGCGTTTAGCTGTATACGCATACATTTTGTATCGTATAGGTGTTTCGTCCAGACGGATCCGGCGTTTTGGGAGAGTGAAACTAATATTTTTTGAAACCGGGTCCCAGAGTGGATAAATCTGAAAACGCTGCTCTTGCGTTCTCGT